AAAAGGTTGAGAAGTTAGAGGGTTGACATGTTGTGGGGTTGTTAACCAATGTCATAAAACAACATGTGTACTTCTGTTTCATGAGAAACTATTTGTTCTGTAAGCCTTCAACTGAAGTACAATAAAAATATTAAAAAAAAAAAATGCAGGAAAAAAGTATTATCATTTAGTATGTAGATAAATTAAATCTGGAGAATTATATTTTTACATATTGTAGATGGGCAAGCATGGACAAAAATCAGTAGTAGGCTAGCATAAAATAATACTTGCTAAGCTTGGAAAGGAATACGTAACCGGCTGATGTAGCCAAAGAAGATGGCATTAAATCAAAGGTTGCTGTCAGTTTGTTAAGATGGAGGAATTAACTAGTTAACTTTCTATTAAATTAACAGCCTTTGTTATCTTTTTTCTAACTTAACCTATTCAAAAGGCAATACTACCTCATTAAAGTCAAGCTACACAACAGACTTTAAAATTTGTTAAAACTAGAAAACATTATTAAGACCCAAGGATGCACAATGTTTTGAAAGACGCAGAAGTCACCAAGGATGATGAATGCTTCTCCTCTGGCTGTAACCTAGAAGGCAGGATAGTGTCTACGTTCTGTTCTTTGACTGGCAGACCCCATTTAACAGAGATCAGGACGGCGGCGGCAAGCACAAAAATTTGCCGCCTATGTTATTAGTAACTAAGACACAGTACACACCAAAAATACTACTACTGGTAAAAACTTCACACTACTTACAGCTTCCACTGTTCAACACTGTCCTTGAGGAGCTGCTTGGGGGAGGAGAGATGATGGGCCCCTGCTAAAGTCCATCAACAAGTGTCCACTGCCTGACCTGGTGAATCACACTCACCTTGCAAGGGGCAAAGTACACCAATATCAGTATTTTGTTTCCTGTCAGTCTTCACAGTCTGTTTAAAGCAAGGCTCTCTTCAATTGGGAATTAATGTGGTCTACTGATATTTGGCTTGAACAGTAATATATTGTCTTTCAGCATAGATAAACCAAGGCAAATTGGAAAGAAAGATTTTAAACCAATAATAACCTAAAATGTAAGGGTCTTGGTGCCTGAACACAGGTTCAATGGAGACAGATATAAGATAATGTCCCTCTTACCTCCTCTTCATTTAAAGGTTACAGGACACAGTGATACTAAATTAGGACACAGGCACAATTTAATACATGGTAACACCTATGCAAGAGCCCTGGTGGTTCAGTGCTTAAAGTGCTCAGCTGCTAACTGATAGGTTGGTGGTTCGAACCCACCTGCTATTCTGCAGGAGAAAGATGTGGCAGCCTGCCTCTGTAAAGACCAGAGCCTTGCAAACCCTGTGGGGCAAATGTACTCTGTCCTATAGGGTCACTGTGAGTTAGAATCGACTTGATGGCAACGGGTTCTGAGTACCACCTACATCCTGCTTTAAATACTTTCAGCATAATTTTAACACATCCAAAATGCTACACAAATCAATTCAAGATACCTATCTACATCAATGGTTTTTAAACTAAAACAAAGAAACTAGAATGACCCCCTTTAAAATAATTAAGCCTTATGTAGCAATCTTATGTGGCATATAAACAGATAAAGCAGAGTTGCTGTGGTTTAAAGTAAAGGTTGGTAGCCTGGAGTCTTTCCTGCCTGCCCCTAAATTCAACGATCACAGTTTCAAAACCACTGAAATACTGTGTACTATTTATGCTTCCTAGCAATTAAGTTTAAAATGACTAAAGTTTAAGTCAAACAAATTAAACACCGAATTGAACATTGGGATATGAAAAAAACCAGCACTCAAATGAGTGGTTAAATTCATCATACAGTATGCTTTAAAAAATATTCAAGAAGAAGTTAAAGGGACAATGTAAGGTTTGCACATCATCATGCTATTTATTGAAGTAGAAAGAACTTGAAAAATATTTTACTTCAAAACGTCAGTCTAGTAAACTGAAATCATGGATCATAAAATGCTGCTTCTTATTTTTATTTCCTAAATCATGATTTATCTCAATTATAAACTAGGGTAATTACATTGAAATTTCATGAAAATAAACAGTATTAGCAACGGGCTTTACAGAAACCAATCTCTTTACAAAGTCTTGACCAATTGTTACCTGACTATCCCAGTAAGGAGAATTTTTTCAAAAATATTTTTAGGAAAAATTTCTTTTCCTTTTTAAAATTGGGAAAACTGTAAACATAAAAGAAATGCAAATATATAGTAAAAATTGCTTATTCAGATTTCAAACTGCTTATATCAAACTTCTCTTCAGGAAAGTGGAAAATTTATCCAGCACAAATAAACCAACATACAATTTATTATTTTATGGTTAACAGATTTTTCAAATTGGGCTTTTAAAAAGCACATTAACTGCAAAAGTAAGATCAAATAGGCAATTATAAAATATATTTATCCTGAAATGACTAAGAATATAAAGTGTTGATGCCTATGTCAAGAGTACATTACACATTACACACGTTATTTAAAGGTCCTTTTCTTTCCATTAATAATGTAGATAAAACCACAATATTTATTGCTTATATCAAGTGCATGTTAAAATCCCAACAGCCTCCAAAACCAAATCCCTGTGATAAAGGACTTCTGAACCTGGCCAGGTGAGACACCACGTCTAACACGTGTGTATACAGCTGCAAGGTGTGCCAGTTCTAGTAAACGTCTCTGTATTTTATGGTGCTGTTTACAGTCTGGCTTTCAGAGGAAAAGTCCTGAGATGCTGGGCTTGTGACTGTACATGTCGCTTATCTGGATGATGTCTAGTCTACTGCACCTCTTTTGGGGTATGAGGAGTTTGCTGCTAACAAATAAACCCTTGTGATTAATGCAGCACTGTCAGCTACTACTGCAGAAGCTTGCTGGGCAGAATTAATTGTTTATAGGACATTTTGCTGAAAAAACAGCGTCCAGCCAACAAAAGCGCCAACCAAAAGGACTGACACAAACCCAGTCTTAGTGAGAATAGGCTGCCAATATAACCACCTTTTCCTTTTTCGTTCAGTCTCATTTAGCCTCTGCTTCATCTGCTGCACCTTCTGAGCCGTGTTAGCTTTTCTGTCGTCTCGAACACGTTTCCGTAGAGCACTGTGAATAAAAACAAAAGGAAGTGCACAACAGAATTAAATTACTCTAATACAAGGATGTAAGTTCAAATAAAATCATACACATCCACATATTTTTCATGTTAATCAAACATCGAAACAAAAAAAGGGAAAAAGACTCAATATTCTAAATGGTTTAGAGATATACTCTGAGAATTCAGCGGCAATTTCTGTAGAGTTTTATATTAATAAGTACTTTCAGTGGGACCTGAAAATAAGCAAGATGGTTTCTTTCAGAATTGTGACCTCTATGGCTGGCGGTTTCTTTCTTCTTTTTAAAAATAAACTATGCCAATTGAGCTAGATGTTTTCTGAAACCATGGTCCCCACGGCCCTCAGCCCAGTAATTCGGTCCCTCAGGGAGCTTAGGTATGTCTATGGAGCTTCCATGACCTTGCCTTGGACAAGCTGTGCTGTCTTCCCCAGTACTGTGTACTGTCTTACCCTTCACCAAAGTTACCACTTAACCTATTGTCTATTTAGTGTTTTTCCCTCTCCACCCTTTCCCTCCATCGTAACCATCAAAGATTGTTTCTTTTTGTGTGTAAACCTTTTCATGGGTTTTTACAGTAGTGGTCTCATACAGTATTTATCCTTTTGTGATTGACTTCCTTTCACTCAGCATAATGCCTTCCAGATTGATCCATGTTGTGAGATGCTTTCCAGATTCATCATTGTTCTTTATCGTTGCATAGTATTCCATTGTGTGTATGTACTACAGTTTGTTTATCCATTCTTCTGTTGATGGGCACTTAGGTTGTTTCCATCTTTTTCTACTGTGAACAGTGCTGCAGTGAACATGGGTGTGCGTATGTCTATTTCTGTGATGACTCTTATCTCTTTAGGATGCATTCCTGTCTTTCCTTTCTTTTAAACTGGCCATTGCAGGCAACAACGGCAGGATAAACTGGTTCCCCAAGCATCTGATCTCCTTTCATGTTATTTGACCTTTCACAAAGGTGCTGATAAGAGCTATATAATTAATATTTTCATAACTTCCTCTATGGTAGCTCCTACTGCTCTCTTTGACTATACGTATCTCCAGTTCTTATCTTCCTATTCAACACAGGATTTTTGTTTCAATGGAAGTTATTTAACTCTCAAGATGTAAGTTTTCTAGGACTACATAAGGAAGGATGGTCAATGGCAACATACTCACTAAATACTTATCTCCTCTTTCACTCATCGTTTGCCTATATTATGGCAAAAACCTAACTGGTGTCCCAGTCTCCAAATGACCTCAATTAAACATTATTGCCACAGTAATTTTTCTAAAGCATAGCTCTGATCGTGTACTTTGACTAAAAATCTTTAAAGTATGTCTACTAAATTAAGAGTGACCTTTTTTCTAGGCCAAAAATGTTTAAATCGAATCTAATCATGAGAAGCAATCAGAGAAATCCAGATTATGGGGGCACTAATCATGTTATTAGGCCAATTAACTGGGATGGCCTATGAAACCATGACCCTAAACCTCCAAACCGAGGACCCAAATCCCATGAGGTTTTTGGTTGTAATCACCCTCAGGAGCTACTTTTTTTCCTTCGTTGTTGTAAAATATTCATCACACAACTTTAGGCAAGTCAACTTAACCAAAAGGTCAGCAGTTCGAATCCACCAGCTGCTCCTTGGAAACCCCATGGGGGCAGTTCTACTCTGTCCTACAGGGTTGCTCTGAGTTGAATCAACTTGACGGCACACAACAACAACGGCAACTTACTGACAGCAGCTACAACTGGTTGTGCAGCTCCAGTTATTTCCGTCACCGTTAACTCGTGCCCTTTCCCTCCCTCCCGCCCCGGTAACCACTGAGAAATTCTGGTCTCTGTGTATTTGTCTTTTTATATAAGTGAGGTCATACAATATTAGTCCCTTTGTAATTGAGTTACTTCACTCAGTATTAATGTCTTCCAGCTCCATCCATACTGTAGCATAAATCAAGACTTCATTTCTCCTACTGGTTGGTTATCTAGGTTGTTTCCACCTTTTCACTATTATGAATAGTGATGCTGAGCATCTTTTCATGTTTGGTGGACACTGGAATGCCCTCTTTGGTGAAATGTCTATTCAAGTCCTTTGCCCATTTTACGATTGGGTTATTTGTCTTTTTTTGTTAAGCTGTCAAAGTTTTATACATATTATGGTTAGTAGATTCTTGTCAGATACATGGTTTCTGAAGATATTCTCCCAGTTGGCAGCTTCTCTTTTTACTTTTTTGGTAAAGTCTTTTGATGAACAAAGTTTTTAATTTTGTGAGGTTCCATTATTTATTTTGTCTTCTGCTGTTTGTGCTTTTGTTACTGTATTAGATAATCTATTGTTAAAAGGTAGGCCTGACAGTGTTGCCCCTACTTTTTCTTCTAAGAATTTTATGGTTTTAGTTTGCACATTTAGGTTCTTAATCCATTTTGAATTTGTTTTTGTGTATGATGTGAGGCATGGATCCTGTTTCATTTTTCTGCATGTGGAAATCCAATTCTCCTAGCGCCAGTTATTGACGAGATTCTTGTTTCCCCATGGAGTGGACTTACCACCCCTGTTGTAAATAAGCTGACTACAGAGTGATATATTTTTTAATGGTAAGTTTTACTTTATATTCCTGATTCTTTTCCTCCTTTACTGTTTGTAGCTTCAATCTGTTAATTAGCCTTCTCTGCTTAGAGGCCCAATGTAATGTGAACCCCTCCCTCTGCTTTCAAACATGCACCAGCCTCATCTATCTCGGAGAGAAGAAGAGATAGAAGGAAACAACACACATGCATCCCCTCCCCTGCCAACATATATCAACCTCCTGTGATCCTGTTATAACTCCTCTTCTGCCCTGTGAAACATGGGCGAGTGCTTTAACCCATGGCTTTACAAGTGCTCAGTATCCACCCTTTAATTGGCAAATATATATATATATTTTTTATAGTTTCAATTCTCCTTGAAGAATTATCTTTAATGTCACCAATGATCAACTTACCAACCAATTCAACCTTCCCTACTTAGTCCTCATTCTTTAGCAATTTTGGGACTGTTAATATGTTTGCTCTGTGTTTGAAGATTAAAACTCAGTGCTTCTGAAGTAGTAAGGGCATCATTTTGGTCATCAAGTCTTCTTTTAATTAATTCCTGTTATGAATTAAACTGTATCCCCCAAAATCCTAACCCCTATACCTGCGGATATAATCTCATTTGGGAATAGGGTTTTGTTATATTAAGAAGGTCTTATAAGTGTAGGGTGTGCTTAAACCTAATCACTTTTGAGGCATAAAAAGCAGATTAGGCAAAGAGACAAGCAAACAAATTAAGGAAGACAGAAGCACATGTGAGTATCGACTGAGGAACGTTGGGGTTACAGAAGCTGAGACAAGGATTTTCCCCCAGAGCCAAGAGACAGAAAGCCTTCCCCTAGAGCCAGTGCCCTGATTTGGACTTTTAGCCTCCTAAATTGTGAGAAAATAAATTTTTGTTCTTTAAAGACACCAACTGGTGGGATTTCTTTTACAGCAGCACTAAGAAACAAAGACAATTATACAAACAGAACTGGTCTCCTATTCCCTCACCTCTAAATACACCAAGAACCCAAAAATCTTATTATGGAAAAAGATAAGGTAATTTGAAACAATATTATTTCTTGATTTAAATGTATAATATTTAAGGTAAAAAAATAAAAAAACAACTTTATGCTTTAAACTGTACTCTAAAATTTCTAAAACCATAGAGAAACATTTCTAAGTCATAATAAACTCTTCCAATACATGATAATACATACACTCTATATTGTAATATGTTAGCTTTTACAAAATTTCAAACACGTAAGTTCCATGTTGGGAAAATATAAAAGTGAAGCTATAAAGTACAGGGTACCTTTGACTATTTTCATGGTACACTCCGAGAGCATCATATAACAAATATGACTACAACATAAAATTTCCCACATGAAAGTCGGAGTTACAGAAGTGAGGAAGGAAGAGAGCTCACTCACTCTGCTAAGTGACTTGTCCTCAGGATACCAGTTTCTTAGCGTGTGAGATACTATGAACCTTAGTAATATAATGATTTTTAATTTAAAAATCTGAATAGTTAACTCATTCATACGGATTCGAAAAATAAAAAGTATAAAAGGACATTTTGTGTTATTTTTTTTTTGAAAAGGACTTTTTTCTTCCTCCAATAATGGAATTAAGTTTAAGTATTCATTTAAGTACTTCACAATTTTAATAAAGACCTAATATCAACTACATTATAAATACAGTACAAATGCTATACAACTGTACCAATGTCAGGCTGAAGTGTTCATACCACTTATTTTCTGTACCACACATCTTCAGCACCTAATTACATTAGCTTCTGTATTATATTAACATTGTTTTAACAATTTCAACAGGTTTCTATCTGTAAGTAATGGCTTCTTAACAAAACTGAAAGCTCTTTGAGAACAATGATAGCATCACATACTATTTAAATTCCCTTTGGTGATCAAAAAATAGTTACATCAACACAATAAGCAAAGGGCCTCAATTACTTCATACCCACACACACTTGGAGCAAGCTCACCTCTCACTCTTTTCCTCTACAGTATCCTGCATTTTAGAGGGCAGTCCTGTACACCTGTCACCTGTAAGTTTTCCTTCTTCTAAGCCAATTCTGTTCCCATTGTATCTTTCAGTCACTGCTTTGGTTGGTGAATGATCAAAAGCAGGAGACAAGTCTTCCTTAGAAAGTTCTTTCCACCGTTTCTAGGTAGCAAGAGAAACAAAAACAAATGTAAATACTGAAAATTTGGTTTTCCTTAAATAAACAAGATTTATGAACTGAAATTCTATATTCAACTTAAGAAAAACCTGTCACACTAACAGAAGACTGAAAACAAAAGGCATTGTACCATACCACAGCTCTTCCAAATATCTGTTTTAAGTACAGAAATTAAAAACTAATAAACTATTTAATATTTATGTGTATCAGTATACAGATGAACACAATAATCTTAATAAAATCGAGTGGACTTTTACCTACTTCAGACAAACTATATTAGTCATAGTAAGAAGACTGTAGCCCAAGCTAGATTTTGCTTGACTCCTAATCCACAGGTGTGTAGCATTTGAAGTAGTGACCAAGATGGAGCTAGAATGTGATCTGGTACCTTCTTGCTCCTTGCCCTGTCCAGTTTACAGAGATCTAACTGTGAGATCTCCAAGCAGGTCCATCAGATGCCAGAAGGACTTTCATTTGGTTGTGTCTACAGGTCTACTAGCAGTGAGAGGTAGCTGGCCCACCATTCAGTGAGGGAAAACTCCTCTGATACCTGCCTGTGTGTTTCAGAGCAGATGGCAACATAAGGCAGGACTCAGACCAAGAAGAAAACAATTGTCAGTTTCTTCACCTATGAAACAGGAATCCATCACCTATCTTGGGAGGCTACTGTGGTGACTAATAAGGGAACAAAAATTCTCACAAGTGGACCATTAAGCAACATGATGATAACTGGAGAAAACAGTGAAGCTGTCAAGGATTTCATTTCCTTGGATCCACAATCAACGTCCAAAGAAACAGCAGTCTAAGAATCAAACAATGCATTGCACTGGGCAAATCTACTGCAAAAGACCTCTTTAAACTGTTCAAAAGCAAAGATGTCACTTTGAGGACTAAGTGACCCAAGCCATGGTTATTTTCAATCGCCTCATATGCATGTGAAAGCTGGACAATGAATAAGTAAGACTGAAGAAGAACTGACACCTCTGAGTTACAGTGTTGGCGAAGAATACTGAATATATACCATGGACTGCCAGAGGAATGAACAAATCTGTCTTGGAGCAAGTACAGCCAGAATGTTCTTTAGAAGCGAGGATGGTGAGACTTCGTCTCATATACTTTGGACATGTTATCAGAAGGGACCAGTCCCTGGAGAAGGACATCATGCTTGGTAAAGTAGAGGGTCAGCGAAAAAGAGGAAGACCCTCAACAAGACAGGCTGACACACTGGCTGCAACAATGGGTTCAAGCATAACGACTGTGAAGATGGCGCAGGACCAGGCAGTGTTTCGTTCTGTTGTACACAAGGTCTCGAAGAGTCGGAATGGGCTCGACAGCACCTAACGAGACGTACATGTGAAAGTGCCTATGGTCATGTTTTGTAAATGTTCGAGGGAGAGAGGTGGAAGAAGAAGAGATGGAAAGTATATCTGGGTCCTGAATATGAAAGCAGTAACAACTGAACAGGCTAGAAGAAGGCAGTGGGGACCACTGTTCCTCCAAGTCCTTCTCAGGGCTGCCCATGTGTACTACTGTTTCTGGGAACACAACCACCATCTATCTCCCTCCCAGTGACAACAGCAGTAGAGGCAGCAGCAGAGGGAGTCAATGATTTTGCTACCTATGACTTTGACCCTGGCTCAACATGACTTTGTATAGTTAGGAAGACCCCCTTTCAAGTGTCCCAGATTCTATCATGGAAGCAAGAAGTCTTGAATCTAATAAATAAAACTCCATACTAATTGCCTAAGGATTTTAATGATCTTGAGCAGATATACAATATTGCCAGATGCACTTCTCTGGAACTTAAAGAACACTCATTCCCTGGAGCTACTTCTGTGCAAAATGGCACTGCTAAAAGCAATGACTGTATACTTAGATTTTTAAAAAATTCCCATAAAATCCATTCAGACAGTGGATTTGCTAGTTTCTAATTTGTTTCATTATCATACAAGGATAACTAAAAGCATTAAAGAGTAAATAAAAAGAAAAAGGCATTTTATCACATTACATCGTTCCAGATATAGCCAATTTATTAAGTTGCATAATTAATCTCTTCTTGTTTTATAATACCTGATACACAAAACACTTAGAAAATGTGAAGTTTTAAAATTTGTTATATAGTCAGTGGAGGACAGGAAGTAGTACAGGTTGGTACAATTTGGCTGGAAGATGAAGAACATGTAGAGTTTGACCCTGACAGCTATGGCTGGAAAGGAAGAAGGTTCTGAACTTAATCCAAGAAGCAACGGGGGAGAACTGAACACTCCTGAGCAAGGACCTAGTAGGACACAAACCATGTCCAGGAGGAATATTCTGTCAACAGTTAGAAAACTACTACAATGGAACACAAGAGTAAGATGTTTCCACTTTAGATGACTGTATCCATTTTCTTTCTTCCCTTGTTTAAAATGTTCAGTCTAAACAGCATTTTTGATAGTGAAGAGGATGCAGATAGTACTTATTACACACTATGCAGCTAATAGTGAGGCCAGGTAGTCTGGGTTGTCTATGCTCTAATCCTTCATGATTATCTGCATTATCCGAAAAGCTCAAGAATTTCAGAGACTGGATAGTTTAAGAAAGTACCCAATAAAAATCTTCAATTATCTCTAGAACTTCTGCTGGTTAATTTTTGAAGTTTTCACTCTTCACTGAGATTTAGTTCTAGTAACTTGGTCTTATTATATTTGGACAAAACTTAATAATGTCAATAAAAGTCATGATGCCAAAACCCAGGTCTTACCGGATCATTTCCCAGACTCTGTCACCAATTCAGAATCTGCCCACAAGCATGAAGCAAAGAAGGAAAATAACTTCAGAAGGAATAAAGAGAGCTATTTAATGCTAGCGAATTAAAAAAAACAATGTCGTTTTGCCATGTCTCTCGATGAAGCTAATGTATTGGAAATTTTACTAAACTACAACCTATTTCATGTTCTCATTTTGAGGCCGGGAGTAGTGTTATCTAGAGTATGGTTTGTAATCTGTCTTTCTCATACCTTGGCTCCTGGTGAGTTATATTCCTTGGTGTCATGCGTTGCTGTGAGCAACTGCCTACATACTGCTTATGACTCTATCCTTTCCTCTGCCAATGAAGGAAACATGACAAAGAGTGAGTAAAAATGACGTAATTAAACTTGGGACCCACTGTATTCTTCTTACAGTATATAATTTACATTTAAGACTTCATTAGTAGTATCAAATTCCCAGCTACAGATTTTACATCAGTTCTAAATTGCCAAAGCAGACTACTTACTCTGGGAGGTTTAATGTCATCACTGAAATTGGGAGTTTGCTAAGAAATATGTGGTAATACCAGCAAGTATTTCATGTATTTATGCCCACCTTGTATCGAAAAGGAGCCCTGGTGGCGCAGTACTTAAGAGCTTGGCTGCTAACCAAAAGGTCGGCAGTTTGAATCCACTAGCCGCTCCTTGGAAACCCTATGGGGCAGCTCTACTCTGTCCTCTAGGCTCACTATGAAACGGAATCAACTGGATGGCAACGGGTTTTGGGGTTTGTATCAAGAAAGATATAAGGCAAACAGATACCATTAGAGAGACAACAAGAAATTATTTATACTTATCTAGGTAGGTCAAGGTCATTGGAGGTTTTCTGTAAATGAATACAAGCTATTCATTTGAGTACAATTATATACATTTACTAATTTTAAATACACACGATCGCTTTAGATGTGTAATACTAAGAGCTATCCATTGTCTCTACAAGTTTTAAAATTACTTTATATCCACATATGCCAGAAGTATTCACAGAAAAACTATACCCAATAATGAAAATACCACTTGTATCCTATAAAAGATTGAGGGGGAAGGCAGATGGCCGCTTTGAAAAAAAGTACCAGAGAAGAATTACATGCGTGGAGTGTGGTCGAGCGGAAAGACATTCTCTAGAGATACAAAGGTTCAAGTGATGCCCCTACACTGCAAAGAAGCTTCCTTCTTTCTTCTTACAAACATTAGTTTTTCCCAAAAAACAGAGGCAGAGAAGATAAAGTATACGGGCATAGAAAAACTAGGGTCTTCACAAATTGGCTATCACATCCTCATATGACAAACAAGATACTTTTACAGGCTACAGTTATATTCATTTAGTTTTGGGTTTCTACATTAACAGAGTAACTTTGGATCTTTCTAACAGCAAGATTTTATGGTATCAGATTTTGGGGAATCAAAAATCTCTTAGATTTCAGCTGTAGGCTAAAGTTCTAGCACAGCATTACAAATGAAATACGATGTGAGCCACATATATAATTTAAAATTTAAAGTAAAGAAGTAAAGCTAATTTTTAACAGTGTTTTATTTAACTCAATATATCAAAAAATATTATCACTTGAACATTTAACCAATATTGTTTAAATTATTAAGATAATTTACATTATTTTTGTATTAAGTCTTGAAAACCCGACCCGTATTTTACATTTTAAGCACATCATGATTCAGACTAGTCACATTTCAAATGCTCAGGGGCATATGTGGTTAATGTACTTGGGCAATACAGTTCTAGGAGGAGAAAAACAAAGAGAAAAATATCCCAGAGAGTGTGAGCCACAGCACAGTGTATGGCAATTGAAGAAAAATTAATGCATTTATGTAAAACAAGCAAACAAATCCATATAAATAAACACAGATTCCTAGAAGAATACGTGCATGTTAAAATGGCTACAAATTTGGTGGTAGGTGAGTTAAAGGGGACTTTCACTTTGTAAGCTATACACTTCCACACTGTTTGAAATTTTTATAGCCAACATGAATTCATTCATTATTTTTATAATAAAAAAGAATCTCACAGCACTGAATAAATCACAAGAGCTCTGCTAAGATCATTTGTGTGGAAATTACCCTCAGCGGGCAATGGGTTTTTCTGATCCTGAGCACCGCAAAAATAGACATTTCCAGTGTCCTACCTGGAACGCAGGCAGAGAAGGCCTTTGGCTTGAAGAGGGTGCTGCTGATGCTGATGTTGAGACAGACTGATGGACACACTATACCACATAAATTGGGACAAAAAAAATTCCTCCTAGCCACAAACTGTGCTGTCATAATAAAGACTCCACAAAAAAGTATGATCCTAAAACCCATCCCTATAATGTAAAAGATCCTCAAAGTAACTAAGAAAATATTCTAAAACTGAAGAGACAAAAAAAAAAAAAAAAGTGGGCGGGGGGGAAACGATTCCAAGGACAGCACATTTTCTCCCCCAGTTACTCAATCTGTGAGCACAACCAGGAAATAAGCAATGAAAGGCAACTAGGTAAGCTATAAAGGTATGTGGAAAAAGTTTGATTTCACTGTTTGACCTTTCTTAAACTCCAGATTTAAGAGAGTAAAAAGCTCAGTGATATAAAAATGAGAAATTTTACTAATCTTAAAACATGTGAGATAACTTTTACTTCTCCTAAATCACTGTTCATTGGCCAAGGAATCCCAGCAAAACATAATTTTTTCAAAGCTTGACTTCTGAAGTAGGGTGTAGTGCTCTGTGGGTTCATACTATATTTCTACACACTAAGTATTTTTACTGACTAACGGCATTGAGTTATCTAATGTTTCTTAAAAAATTTCTTTAGTGCTTATTATAAAGGTTTGAACTAAAGCTTTTAATAAAACTTTAAATATTGATAAAATATAATGAAGTTTGACTTGAATAGTTAAAATAGACAAAAAAAGGGAGCTATGAATCAAACAAAGTTTAAGAACATTTTAATATTCCTATGAAATCTATACATTTAGCTACTATACTTATTTCCATTATAACAGATGATCTAAGTGATAAAAGGCTTATTCATAATATTCCAGTGTTGGCTAATAATCATAGCAACTACAGAACTAGTAAATGGGTTCCTATCTGAGAAATACACTGAAAAAGATTCTGAAAGATGTACTATTATGTCCAACGTGATTAGATCAGATAACAAGAGGGGGGTCTACTGTTACTTCTCCATGTCCATTTTACATTTTACATTAGTGTATAATACAGATTTTTGATAACCAGTCCTTGAACTTAGCTTCTGCAAATATGGAATAAAAATATCTTCATGAGAATAAAGCTACCGACCAGAGAAAATATAAAATAAAATTTTACTGAAATTTCATTATGTCTGCCATAGTATTCAAGTTGCTCTGTGTTATTAAGTAAAATATTATATAAACCAAATCCTCTATAATCCCAAATTAGGTTTTTAATGGGAAAAAAGAACCTAAACTTTCTGGTTTATTTTAATAATTAAATGTGTAAACCCACCTTACATGAGAATTTAGGTTTCTTTAATGGAATCTTGCTCCCACTAGGGCTTTTAAGTAACACATAGGATTTAACATGAGGCTGAGATGTGTATGAGGAAGTGGGCCTAAATTTTACAACTTTAAGATGACTGGCTGGATTTACCACATTAATGTAAATATACTTTTTGAAAGGAAGGGCAAGATAAATGCTTAAGTCGAGTACAGTTATGTGATGTTACTCGTATTTAACTATAACAAGTGGGTACATTTTTCTTCTTACAAAGTTTACCTGTATATCTGAATCTCCCTTTATAAACTTTGCTCCTTCTATTATAGCCATGTATGAGAATCTGAGTTGATCTGGTGTCTGAATAAGTCCCATTCGATATTTTCTCATATTCAGTAACACTTGTTTAATGTTAATATCATTTCCTTTTTCCATCTGCAAGAAAGGTGAAAATAATTCAAGCCTTTTGTTGTTAGAGTCCAGGAAACAGGTAATGCAGGACTGCTGCTAAAATTTTGCTATTCACCGTGCTCCTCCAGAAGAAAAGGATAATTTAACACCTTAGCAGTAAATGCTGTGAACACAACAACCATCCCAATCCATCCATCCTCCCCCACATCTCAGTATATTCTTCAAGTAGTAGACAGAAGATTTTTTATCCTTTGGCTGACTCAAACCTGACTGCAAACCAATCATAGTAATCTCATTCATTTGGACAGTAGTGGTCAAAGGATTTATGACCAGTTCTGGCTAATATAAGGGTAAGTCTGCCAAGATTAGTTTTTTCTTCTTAAAAAAAAAGGAAAAGAAAAGAAATCTTGGCATGAGCAAACCTTTTTGCCCATGGCCCTTCCCCTTTCATGATGTCTGGATTATAGACATAGTGTGGTGTCTGGGTATCCTGCAGCTGTCTAAAGATGCTGGAGAAGAAAAGAGACAGAAAGAGACCAGGTCCGTGAGGAAACTGTTGAGCTACTACACCAACTCTGAACTACAGGTCTGGTATTATAAAAAATAATTTCCCCACCAATAAAAATTTTGCTGAAGTTATAGTTGGCAGGGTCTTTGCTATTTACCTGAATGCATTCCTAAAGGCCCAAACACGGAGTCTAACTTTAATGTTCATGATTAATACGGTAGATATCAGAGTTTTTAAATATTTAAAGTTCACTTTAATGTTTAACGATCCAATTTTTGATGACATATGCTACAACAAGCAGAGTGGTAAAGTAATACAGTATATGTAGCAAGACTCAACTGTTCCTAATTTCTACCTTTCATCAGAAATGAAAGTCTGAAATGTCCTACCAAGAATATCACTCCTTTGATCAAGACGTCTGTTAAAATATGTGTGTTTGCCAGGAATGATATTAGTAAGTGATTTCATCTGATAACTTACTTTGTGCTAGCTGTCATGTTAGAAAGCATAGGAATGCTCAGAAAAGTGCAATGAAGCATAGCTAAGTTTTACAAGGACAGACAAGAGATTAACAGAAGAAGGAAAGACAACACGGGACCTTAACGCCAGGGTTCAGGTAACCAATATACTAATGCCTAGGTTACTAATAATCTTAAAACAAGCACAGGGACGTAAAAAGTAAACTACAGAGAATACTGACTAGATTAATATGAAAGTCAAGGCAGAAGGGATTATAGATGGCTTAGATTCAATAAAAGGAGGGAGAAATGAGAAAAGTTAGAAGGTGCATTAGGGTTAATAGAAGGCCCCTGTACCCTAAATAAGGAAAAGTGGACTTCCTTAAAAGAGAAGGCCTGTATCCAGGCTGAGGGTGGGAATGGGCTGGTAGAAAAACAACACACCTGTGGGGGCATAGATAAGAATCTCAGGGGAATAATAACAATACCAACATTTACTGAGTACTTAGAATATACCAGGGACTCTTCTACATGTTCTGAATGTATTAGTTCATTTAATTCTTGCAACAATTCTGAGGTTAAGAACTATCGTTATCTCTAGTTTGTAAATAAGGAAATGAAGGCAAGAGAGGTGATGTACTTGTCCAAGGAGGAAGGAATTCAATATTATACATCCATTTATATTTGAGAAAAAGGGAAGGGGGAAAGGACCTATTATTTTTGTAATATAAAGCAACCAGAAAAAAATCTTCTTGGGGATACCTAGAATTATCTTGGACATATCTCTACCAGTCACAAGGAAAAGGCAACTGAAAGGGTGGAAGTGAGATTTTTAGGTTTTTCCAAAAGGCGGCAGAATTCAAAGTCTGAAAAGCACAGATCTGGAATACTGACATCAGAGCTTAACTCTGCCAGCAGAAAAACAAAACAAAACAGAAAATAAAGGAGATGAAAATTAAATCATAAGACGCACTTACCAAAATAAGACAGGTGTCTACTAGGGAAAAAGTGCCAGACCGCCCGATGCCGGCACTGCAGTGAATTACCACGGGCCCGTGCTCAGGGTTCAAGGAGCCAGATTCTCTCACTTTAAACAAGAAATTGAGAAATGAAGCTGGCGATTCAGGGACTCCAAAATCTGGCCAGGTGGTATAATGAAAGTGAGATATTGTTCTGGTTTCACCACTCTACAAAGTGAAAATCAAGGGGAAGGGGAAAGTTAGTTCTAATTTCTTTCTTTCAAAAACCTATTTCAGAAAGATTCTATACTTCACATAATGCTTTTAATCTGTATGGACCTTCTGTACCATGACTTTTTCATTTGGTTTTGGATAATCACTTGTACAAGCTGGGGAAGATTTTCTTTAGGGGAATTTGGAATATTAACACTAAACCCTGTTTGAACCCATTGCCGTTGAGTAGATTCTGACTCATAGCGACCCTACAGGATAGAGTAGAATTGTCCCATAGAGTTTCCAAGGAGCAGCTGCTAGATTCAAACTGCTGACCTTTTGGTTAGCAGCTGAGCTCTTGACCACTTCAGGGATCGATATTAACAGTGACACTTACACAACACTTACTGTTTGCTTTAACTCACACATCATGAGTGGATTCCTTTTTTCTAGTTTTAAAAATATTCTACCAGTACAATCTTATACCCTTCAATGTTTTTTTAAGAATTCCAGAGGTTTAAAAAAATATAATCTTCCCTTTATAAATCTTTTAGATTCTGCTATACAGGAGCCCTGGTGGCGCAGTGGTTAAGAGCTCGACTGCTAACCAAAAGGTCAGCAATTCGAATCCACCAGCTAGCTGCTCCTTGGAAACCCTATGGGGCAGTTCTACTCTGTCCTATAGGATCGCTATGAATCGGAATTGATTCGACAGCAACGGGTTTTTATACAGGCACAGAGAAGTGACTCAAGAATTAAAGTAAAAGAAATAATCTCTACATTTGTAACCGAAATCGCTCTTGTACTTGCTGCCTGTCTCCATGGTAATAACTTCCAGTCCTAAAACTGCTTATATGCTTTTGCTGATGTGCTAAGATGGTTTACAAACATACTGAATGTTTCCTGTCTCTTAGGGCCTGCCTGACACTCACTTATTCATCAGGAAAATCACTTTCTGGATATTCCTGATGATCTTTATTTCTGACTAACTTGTGACAATGTTTCTTACCTTTTGCCAGCCAATTACCCTTTGCCTTACACTCTTCATTTTTGTAAACTTTTAGCAGCAATCCTTGAACATGTCTTTGCACAATTTTTTCAGTTTTATGATAGGATGTTTTTGGAGGAGAGAAGGCATAGAAGCAATATTTAAAAAACTGAATATCTAAATGAATAACAGCTAGGTTATTATAACATCCAGTTCTCAATAAAAATAATCAAATTAGAAGTTACCTTTCATTTTTAAAATCAAAATTGTCTTATTTGTTTTTTAGTAGAAATTAAGACTACTGAACCCCAGGTTCAGTTATATGAAGAACACTGGTAAAATACACTGCAAAAATTTTTTAAAAAGTTTTTTAGAACTATATACTTTTAATGACCAATTCTTCTTATTATCTAGCTTTAGTCCAAACATACTGTGATCCATAGGTTCTTAATATCCTGAGGGCACTAGAAGATTTCCCCATTATTAACTTAAATAATCATCATCATTTCTAAGCTTCAAAACATTTCCCTTTAAATGCAAATTAGGTATGCTAAGGGAAAGAAGCCAGATTCAAAGCTACATATTGTATAACTGCACTTATAAGACATTCTGGAAAAGACAAAAATTATGAGAACAGAAAACAGAACAGTGGTTGCCAGAGGCTGAAGGTGAGAGGCTGGTTGGCTGCCCACAAGCAACAGGAAATTTTAGGGGGGTGACAGAACTATTCTGTTATCTTGATGGGGTGGTTACACAACCAAAAACCCGCATAACTGAGTACCACAAAGCGTAAATTTTACTGGATGCAAAAAAGTGCATTAATTTACTGCATTAAAAAAGGAATTAAAAAAAATCCAAATTAAGAAAGGGAGACTGCAGTTTCCTTTTACAAAGCAGTTAAGTGGACCGTAACAACTCGATACACGAATAACAATGGCCTAAAAGGGTTGGTCTTTGATTAGCCCAGGGAGTCTAAGATTCCAGTGTGACTTCTTAGGGACAACTGCCCTTTGAGCTCCACAGGGTGCAGGCCCCACGTGGGTGCAGTCCCCACCTGGGGGCAGACTCACTTACTGCATCACCTCCTGGCTCAAAACCTGTGGTTATTCCACAGTCCTGAGCAACAGTTTGCTTTTTCTTTGTTTGTGTAATTCTGGCTGAAGACTAGTGGTCACTTAATTTTCTTCAAATATAGGTCATACTGTCTTGAATACATAAAGCCAGTTCCCAGAAATGCTAATGACTGTATAATACAGTCTTCCCTAATGGATTTTCAAAAAACAGTGTTTTTCTTTCCCTACAGAACCATACTAAAGGACTTCTTGAAAGGTTACTTTTGACTAATTTACTAAAACAGGATTCTAAAAACACAGCTCACAAAATCATATAATTCAGAGCTACAAAGGACCACATAAAGTAATAAGATCCATATGTTTACTATACTGGTACAGAGGACATGTCTACATGTGTGACCATACCCTCTCCCCTCTTTTTTAAGCTGGGGAGAAAAGAAAAGAAAACTGGGAGGGAAAGGGGCTGCCAAAGGACACAAAGCTAAAACCAAACACACTCCACATTCAGAATTTACAACTCCTGACAGACTTCTAGTCCAAGCCTTTGGAAGCATCCTTTCTTTTTCCTCAATCACTGAGTCACATCATTCTCTTCTGTCACATCCAATTGTCCCTTCCACTGCTCCCCCACTGTCACATCCACAGTTCAGGGGCCATCCCAGTCTCTCGCCTGCCGACACTGACCCGCCTGGCTCTCTCTGTAAGACTTTGCAGTATGTATGCTACACTCCGCACAAAAATTTCAGTGGCTTGTCTTTCTTTTTATAGCAAAATCTCATTTACATTTTTGAAGGAGAATTACAAATTTAAAGTTGCTGAATAAGGATATCAAGCTTGTTATAATATATATGAAGGTCAGGCAGGTAATCTATGAGGTGAGTAGGTATAAGACAATGGGGAGCTGCTAGGTCTACGGCAATTTCAGTATATGCCTTTGTCTAAAGCCATTCAAATTCAAGTTAATAATAATTATTACACACACAAATTATTATAAAAATATATACAGTTCTATGGGCCCAGACCCACAGTACACTTGAGGTACAAAGATCATGTTTCTAAAATGGAATGTTTTTACCAAGCCTCAGTTCCAGCATTCGTAAACAGGACTAATAACAGTACTTACAAGGCTGCTGTGAGGAATAAATGAATGAAACACATGGATGTAAAGTGTCTGACATTTGCCTGGCACGTGGTAAATGATAAACAGACACTGGCAATTTCTAAAATAATCAGACTCACTAATCAATTTTACCGTGGCCTCAAAAAAGCTCTAATCAATTATAAAACTACACATTTTCAACTTCTTCACTTATTACTTCCTCTACAACTACAGAATCACTGAGTCTGTCAATGCCATCTCCTAAGTGTATTTCCAGTTTGTACCCTCACTGTCATGACATTAGTTCAGCCCCCCACTGATTTTTCCAGGATCCTTATATTGGCAGTATTAAATATTTAGTTACTGAAATTCACTCTGAAAGAGGAACAGAACTCACCAGACCAGGAGGCGAGGAGAGTGACAGGAAGAGACAGGCGTGGGGTGCATTCTAAGCAGAGGGAGAAGAATAGACAACGGTGGGGCCCCAGGGAGCAGACGTGTTTGACAAGTGTAAGTAGTTCAGCACGAACCAATCCTGATGCCTGGAGGAGATGAAGGCCGACGAGCTGGCCGGCCAGGCCAGGCCAGACAGAGCTTTCTGCTTTGGACATGGACTTTCTTTCATGACTGACAGGGACCATGGAGGGGTTTTGAGCAGTATGGTGGAAGGAGCACATCTGTGTTCTACAATAACCACTCAGGTGTGTTTGACCATGGACCTAGTGCTATGGCAGAGGGGAGGACAAACACAGCAGACAAGGATCCTGCACAGGGTGAGTTAAAAAAGACTACTTTGTTTTCTCCCCCAGTTGTCACTGAGTCGAATTCGACTCGTGGAACCCAATGTATGTCAGAGTAGAACTTTATTATATGGGGTTTTTGATGACTGTGATCTTTTGGAAGTAGATAACCAGGCCTTTCTTCCTAGGAATGTCTGGGTGGATTCGAACTGCTAACCTTTTGGTTAGTAGCCAAGTGCTTAACATTTGCACCACCCAGGGACTCCTCAAAAACTTTGTTATGGAGTCAAAATTATACACACACAATGACTGAACAAGCCAGTAAAATGGTAAAATTAATCCTGGAGAGAAGTGTAAGAAGAGTCACAGCTGTTAGGAATGAATGGGACATGGACTATTAGGAAAGATCTAAGTAAGAGGCAGGCTACAAGGGGGTACTGAGGATGCACAGGAGATAAACAAGCAGAGACGGGGTGCTGGGGCATTACAGGTAGGAGGGACTGTTTAAACTATTCTGAATCAAGTCACAGCTCAGCACCATACTGATTAGGCACCCACCCTGGGAACAGAAGACAGTCAGCATTACAACAGTATTCCTGGAACTCAATCAACATAAAGCTGGCCAACAGTATTACGGAAAACAGAGAAGGGCAAATAAAAAAGAAAAATCTGCAAGACAAATACGCACTCTAGCTGACGTTATATTTAAAAAGCTCCTCAGAATTATCTCTATAGTTTTAGCCAAGGGCCCACGGTGAAAGCACAGATGGAGTCCCTGCTCATTCAGGGGCACATTCAGGGGGCAAAGTTCAAACTCTTAGCTTTAAATGAGACACGGGAATGGGCCCCTGGTGTGCAGCTTTACTGCTCAGTTAGACTCACGTCTCTGAGAAGAGCAGGGCATGCTTAGATGACAGCTGTGGGCCCAGACCTGTTAACAGATTCATTTCAGACATGTTCAGAAGCAAAATGGTTTTCTACAGCCCAAGTACCTCAATGAAGATCTGCGGGCTGAGGTTGGCTATCACTTTCCTACTTCATCACCTTCTCTCACTCCCTTGTTATTCTTTTCTGCTTCAATTTGTTCTTTTTAACTGCCCCTTGCTCCTGCAGTCTTTCTTAATTTTTTAATATCACAAACAAAACAGCTGAAAATAACAAAAGGTAACAACTGCGGATACTGCACTATATCTTAGGTTTTGCTGTAGTATTTACTCAGTGGATTCTTTCAGCGAGAGATAGGTACATTATTACCCCCATTTTACAGATGACAAAACTGAGGCACAGAGGTTAATCAATGTGACTCAAGTCACACAGTCAGAAGTTGCAGTCACGATTTAAACTCAGGTGATTTGGTTCCAAATGCAGTTATATAATTCTCTCTCGTACTAAAATGCTACTTTATTCTTCTAACTTTCCTAGTTCTTAATAAAAATTATAAAGTATAAAATAAACAAATTGTTGCTGTTCTATTATGGTGGACTCTGAACTCAGATCAATAAGAAATACAGTGATCACTTGATTATACCACACAGTAGTTAGCAACTAAATCATAAGCGGTTTAGCCAACTCACATGATGGCCTCAACTTTAAAAGATGCTTTATATACAAGAATTTTCCTTGACAACAATTAGCATCTTTTTCAGAAGGTCATTAGAAGTTAGGAGACCTGGATTTGAGTTCTGGTCTGTCACTTATTAGTGAAGTAAGCTAGGAAAAACTCCTATAGTTTAATGAGTTTTAGTATTTTATTTTTGTTTATATGAAATATAGGGATAATAAGAATATTTACTCTATCCATGTTATAGGAAGACTGTGGGGTCAAATAAGATATACATGAAAGTGCTTTGCAACCTGATAACAAAATACAAAAGTTGTTCTATGTTTATTATTATTTGCGATAAAATCAATTCTCATTTAGGATTGTTTCAGAAACAGGGAAATGCATCTATGTCCCTCTCCATCTGAATCAAATTTACAGTTGTATGCAGAAGAGGTACCTGGGATAAATACCAAGAGAAGATGACTCAACAAACTGGGAGAAGTTTGTGGAAATGCAGTTCCGTTTCTGGGAATGAGCACTGTACAATCCAGGATCAAATAGTTATTAATGTATCTCAAGGCAGTTTAAGACACATGTAAATGGAATGGAGCCCTGGTGGCACTGTGGTTAAGAGCTGCAGCTGCTAAACAAAAGGTCAGCAGTTCGAATCCACCAGCCTCTCCTTGGAAACCCTATGGGGCAGTTCCACCCTGTCCTATAGGGTCGCTATGAGTTGGAACTGACTCGATGGCAACGGGTTTGTTTTTTTGGTAAATGGAATGATTGGTGCAAAATAAATGAAGTAATGAAAATTTGTAAATCTAAGCCTTATAATTCCCAGCCTTGAGCCTTCTTAGGTGAACTAAGAGATCACAACAGTCTGAGGCATGGGGGCTAAGAAAGCTGAACAAAAAGAAAAGTAGAACCTGGGCCTCAAGCACATAGCACGCAACTGTGCTTACTGTATGCAGTAAAAAAGAGGTGTCCCAAGAGATCAACTGCAAAGGTATTTCCACACATCTAAAAAGTACTTACATATATCCCTTCTCTTTTCTATTGCTCTTCTTTGGGATGGGGGTGGGGGGTGCTAATGATCATATGTAAACCACTTAATTCACTTCGTGGTGAACTAAAACAATATCTCACTTTACAGACTACACACATTCCTGAAGTCATTTTTGGTAAAAAAAAAAAAAGAAAAAACAAAAAACCATTTTCCTATCGTTTCTAATTGCATCTAAGAATTACTCTCATTTTATATATTTTCTAACTTATTCTAATTACAGCACAAAGAAGGCAGAAGAGATAAATGGGAAAAGGAGAAGAAATGTCTTGATAACCAGCTTAACAACTGCACGTTTACAATCCATCCTCTATATGTATCTCAACCAAGTACCAAGGAAAAATTTCACATATTTCTGGAAAAAAATCCAAGTATGTTCTTGCGACCAGATGCTACACTTATTTCACCACTGCTTCTAGTTCAGTAATGACAAATTTCTGGTGAATCAGCTTAGTTCATACCATTCCAGTCCATCCTTTTCTTGATTAGCTTGCTACTCTCAGTAGTCATTCGTACTAGCAGTTCTCATTTATTGGGCATCTATTCTGTATCAGGTGATTTGCACAGATGACTTCATGTGATTCTACAACAGTCCTGTACGGTAGGACTACAACCCCCATTTTGAACTGGAGGAAAAGGTTCAGGGAGGTTGAGGAACAGGTCCAAAGTATGCCTCTACTAAGTAGCAGAGCTGGATTTGAATACAGGTTTACTCGATTCTAAAGCCCTCTCTCTTAATCCACAATTATTAGTAATTACTTACCTTCAATCCTAAAATATCAACCTGAACTTTGAAATCCCTAGTTTCTAGGGTTTTTTGATAGTTCTCAGAGAGCTACCACATAGGTGAACACACTGAAAACAAATGGTTATGACTAGATAATTTTATAGCTATTACCCATATGGATGTGATACATCAAACTTCAATCCGATAACAAATAGTAACTCTTAAAATCATCATTATAAAGTCCAAACTTTTAGGCATGAAAAGAGTCTTACATTGGTATTTTCTAATTGTAGTAGATGTACTGTATAGTATGATTTCACATCTTCTGATAAGAACTTCACACTGAATCCTGTTTCTTTAAACAGCATCTCTTGCTCATCTTTTGTTGGCCAGTACTGTGCACATTTAACCTAAATTTAAAAATATGTATATGATTTCTTAAATTTAAGAACATTATGAAGCCATAAAAAGTTGAAATAGGAAAATAAACCACACACATACATGTTACATTTTTGTCAAGTACACAAACATAAGAACAGTCACCACTATATTCAATGTTTAATGTATTTTAGTAAGATTGGTATTTTATAAAGCTGATTTGTAAAATGTTCCTCTAATTTAGAAACAAACAGTTATAGATATCATGTTGGTAAAATAAAAATAAAATTTTAATTTCTAAAGCATGAAGCCAACAGACTGAGGCAAGCTGAGATTAAAAAGTCATTTCATTAGAATACAATACCAGAAAAACATCCTTTTAAAAAGTCCTTTCTCCTTTTCTAAATCATAAATAGCTACAAATAACATACAATAAAAATGTCCCCAAAATAAATGGATACTATGACCTAATACTTCAAAAGGTACTAAAAGACATTAAAAATTATAAAGAAGTGAAAAAGCATGAATGAAAATTAGAATTCAGAAATGAAGTAATAGAAGACAGTAAATAATAGAACAGTAAATAGACAGTAAATAATAGAACAAATAATTTCATAAATTTAGATTAAACTAAAAGGAACTATAAGATTAAAGTAAATAAACACAACAGGTAATGGCTTAAGAGAAAAAGAAAGGGGAAATTTTTTTAAATAAAAAAGGAACGAAGAGAGACAAATAGGAATAGAGAGAATGTGCCAAATATAGAAGATAGGAAAAGAAAATTCAGCATATGTATAATTGAAAAAAAACCTATTGCCATCAATCAACTGCAACTCATAGTGACCCTACAGGACAGGGCAGAACTGCCCCACGGGGTTTCCAAGGAACGGCTGGTGGATTCCAACTGCGGATATTTGGTTAGCAGTCTGAGCTTTTAACCACCGGGGCTCCATATGTATAATAGGGGGACCCAAAGAAGAGAGGGAAAGCAATCAAGGGAACAGAAGAAATATTAAGAACTATAATTTAAAAAATCTTTCTTAAAAGATGATTCAAAATGTAAGATTACAATTTCTAGCCAATCAGTGAAAAAGTGGTGCTTTCAATGATTCTACCCATTTTGTGATGTTGATATATATTGATGATTCTGTAACCTTCCTTGGACTTGGGCAGACATGGCTCTGGCAGCATGCTTGTCCACTTTGCATTTTTGTCCTTTCAAATATATGCCAAATAAAACTTTCTTTTTACGTTAAAAAAAAAGAAAAAAAAAATCTTTCTTAAAAAACAAGAGATTTGAAACCGCATACTGAAAAATCACACTGTAAACCTGGGAAAAATGAACTAGAATGACCAACATCATGACACATTTGGGAAAAATTAATGGGCTTTAAAGAATAAAAAATACTTCTGGTACCTAGGTAAAAAGAAAAAGTGACTTAAAAAGGAAATAAAATAAGATGTCCACTTGACTTTGACAGTAATTTGTAATGTCAGAAGGAAAGGGAGTAATATATTTAAATTATGCAAAGAAAAGCAAATGTGAGCCAGGGATTTTATAGCCTGCCAAACTGACTTTAAAGTGTTAAGAAACAAACTGTCATTAACATGTAAGAACTTAAGGACTATAAAGCTCATAAAGCCCTTCCTTAGAAATTCGTTAGAGAATGTGCTTTAGACAGTCAGAATGACTGCAGAGACATTAACAAAGACTGATGGTGAATATTAAATACATATTTACATGGAAAGCTAAGATTAAATAAGGGATATAAGAGAGAGACTGCAGTATTCTATATGTTCTGACAACGTAGATAATGTACAATTAAAAAAGAAAACCAGAAGAGAATGGGAAGAACATATAAAAATTTTTGAACTATTTTCAGTAATTATTTTGCTGGTAGGGTTGATATTGTTATTATGAGTATGCTTCATGTGTAATAAGGGACAAAGTAAATGAATCATTATAAGATATTCTACACTGCTGACATCTTGGAGAAATCAGGACTTTTTTTGTTTGGAAAAAGTAAGCAACGGTATAAAATAGAAAGGGTTACGCCAACCTCTACAGTCCTAAATTTGACTTGGAAATATCAGTATGAACTCTTGAGAAATATTATCTTGAAACACACACATATTTTTGCCTTAGCTCTGTGCACTGAAAAGGCTCTAAAAACAGTGACCGACACAGTAGGAATAAACAGGTTATTTTTATTGTGATCTTCAAATAACCACTGCTCATTAAAAGAAACCAAGACTTCTTAGAGGAATGGCTGTCTCCAGATCTGAGGCAGGAAGAATACAAGAGGGTCCTGTAATATGTAGCCATTCTAGATAGCAAGAAAGGATTTAAAGACTATCTAGCTTTATGTTAAAACGATTCAGGGCCCAAACTGAAGAAATTTCTTCTAGTTTCAAAGATGGGACAATTTGACCATCAATAAGGATAACTGCAACAGAGTAAAATGAATCAAATGTTTTAATTTCATGAGTTCGTAATCATTCACCCTCCACCATCTAAAAAAAACCTAACTGGTCACCTGCTGAGGACACTAGGGAATAACCTTATTTTAAAAATTGCCTTTTCTACATAAAAGTCATCAACTAACTATAATGGGAAGCTTCTTTTCACAAAATTATTCTAACAGCAGCTGAAGAAGGAATGACATAATTAGAATGTCACTATTTTGTAACCCCCTAATGAATCGAAGGACTCAGCATTAACCAACGATGCTGTTAATATCATAAAAAGAAAGACAACCAGACATCATGGGCCTTGTGATGAACACCACAACACCTCCCCATTAGGTAATCTTTCCACAGCTAACTAAATCTGAATCTTATTAAGCATCTGGACCAAACATCACAAATATAATTTCTCATTTCCAGTGGTAGTCTAAATTAATCATATAGTTTGCAATATTGCTCAAACTGCTCAAACTGACAATGTCATCATCACTTAAGTTTTAAAGCATATTGGAGATCATGAAAAACCACAGTAAATAACCATCCACATGTTGCTGGACACTCTGGTATGTCAGTGTCACGTCAGGGAAGAGATCGATCAGGCCTTCTCACACTCATTGACAAACCAAACCAAAAAAGCCAAACCCACTGCTGTCGAGTCAATTCTAACTCATAGTGACCCCACAGGACAGGGCAGAACTGCCTCAAAAGGGTTTCCAAGGAGCGGCTGGTGGATTCGAACTGTCAAACTTTTGGTTAGCAGCTGTAGCTCTTAACCACTGCACCACTAGGGCTCCCACTGACTGACAAACCAGTAACTATTAATTTAGAATTAGGAATCTGAGTAAGTAGAACAGTCCAAGATCTTAAAGCTGGAAGAGACCTTCTTGATAATATTTTCCAATTTGCTTGCTTGACAGAAAAGGAATCTAAAGCTACAGAGTTAAAAAAGCAAAGTTACATCACTAATAGGCATTGTGTTTAAATCATAATTTAAAATTTCAATAAATTCGTACTTGCCCATATTTATTGTTCTCATGACCTTAGAACCAACAATTAGAAACAAAATCTGTTATTTAAAATCTTTTACAAAATTTCCAAGATTTTGATAATAACAAATTGTCAAGATTCTAATAAAGCTTAGGGATTTGAAAGATCTATGGTATATATCACCACTAGTTAGTACTTGTTCAATTATATTTATATCTTGGAAATTAGTGGTCTCCAACTGTCATTTAAATAAAGTAAAAAAGGAAAGGGATAGTTTAGTTCTTCCTGCCAGAAACATTCTGGCCACTAGATGTTAGTAATTAAAGGCCAAAACTAAAAATGAAAACATTTATAAGCTAATGATCACACGCAATACACTAAGTTATAAATATCAAATATTACTCACCGATTCTTTCTCTACAACTCGGTTTAGCATGACAACTGCTTTGGTCTTCTGCTGCCAAACCATGAGCCAGAAATGACAACACGTATTAGGAAGTGGACCCTGTAAGAATGGAGAAGAAAATGTAGGTAAGGGAAAGGGGATGGTAAAGGGCGAGGCTCATGGAAAACTTCAAGTATGCTCCTGGTTTGAAAACAATGTACTGGATCATAAGTAAATCAAGACTTTAAATCCACTTGAATTAAAAAACAGGCCTGTCCACTGGTCTCACCCCTTTGGGAGCAAGGGAGAATGAAGAAAACAAATACAAGGAGAAGATTAGTCCAAAGGACTAACGGACCACAACTACCACGGCCTCCATCAGACTGAGTCCAGTACAACTATATGGTGCCCGGCTACCACCACTGACTGCTCTGACTGGGATCACAACAGAGGGTCTTGGACAGAGCTGGAGAAAAATGTAGAACAAAATTCTAACTCACAAAAAAAGACCAGATTTACTGGCCTGACAGAAATTGGAAAACCCCAAGAGTATGGTCCCCGGACACCCTTTTAGCTCAGTAATGAAGTCACTCCTGAGGTTCACCCTTCAGCCAAAGATTACACAGCCCCATAAAACAAAACAAGACTAATGGGGCACAACGGTCCAGGCACAAGGACTAGAACACAGGAGAGGACAAGAAAGCTGGTAATAGGGAACCCAAGGTTGAGAAGGGACAGTGTTGACATGTCATGGGGTTGTTAACCATCGTCATAAAACAATATGTGAACTGTTTAATGAGAAACTATTTGTTCTGTAAACCTTCATCTAAAGTACAATTAAAAAAAAACCAGGCCTGTATTACTTAGGATTTTTGGTTATAAATGATCAAAAGCAACTCTTATTTACTTAGGCAGAAAGGGAATGTCTTAGGATATCAGGTGGCTCTCACAGTTAGGGAAGAGAGCCAGGTTTCGGTAGGAACCAAGAGTTAAAGTACCGGCAAGATTTTGCCCAGCATAGAGTCTGCCTGGCACACTACTTCTGATACTTCCACGGCTGCCACCTTGCTTCTGCTGGCACTGCCACACTTAAGGTTGCTGTGGTCGCCACAGATAATAAGCAAGCAAACTAGATCCAAAATCATGGGTGGGAATATCTGATAACTCATGTTTAGCTGCAAAAGGGATAGGGGAAAGACAGTTTCTGTTCCTTCAGCTTCCACAGCAGTAAAGAGAGGGGTCCTGACTCTCACTGACCACGGCAGTCCTCAAAAGAGGTGTGTGACAGCACAGGGCAGCCAACCAACTCAAGTTAACCACAGGAATACTTCCAGAAAAAGTGAAAATCGTGAAAAAACTTGAACCACTATGAAACTTAATTTACAAAAGCACAATGCGTGCAACCTGCATGGCAGAGTATTGGGCATTGTTAAAGGGGTCAGTGGTCCATATTACAACATTGTCGTGGGAAAAAATGAAGTCATATTATGTACACTTCAATTACCTTCATGTACACTTCAATTACCTTCACACTGTCTTTCATGACAGCATATGGCAGAACAAGGGGCAAATAAGAGATGAAAATATGCCATGCCCAAATTATAACTAATTTTAAATGAGTGAAGGTTAAAATGAACGAGGCTCTACTGCACCTAAAGTAACACTGAAGGTGCAATGAACTCATCAAGCAATGGGATAGAGTGGGGAGAGTTATGGGGAGAGTCAGGGCACTGGGGGCCAGGTCTCCACATGTGAAACAAGAGGATTCTAGTGGTTCTAGACTGAAAGCATCTTTGTTGTTGTTAGCTGCTGTCCAGTCAGTTCCGACTCATAGCAACCTTACGTACAAAAGAATGGAACACTGCCTGGTCCTGCACCATCCTCATGACCGTTGTTATGCTTGAGCCCGATGTTGCAGCCACTGTGTCAATCCATTGCGTTGAGGGTCTTCGTCTGTTTCTCTGAGTCTCTACTAAGCTTGATGTCCTTCTCTAGGGACCGATCCCTCCTGATAACCTGTCCAAAGTATGTGAGACAAAGTCTCAACATCCTCACTTCTAAGAAACATTCTGGCTGTACTTCTTCCAAGACAGATTTGTTCATTCTTTTGGCAGTCCATGGTGTATTCAGCATTCTTCACCAGAACCATAATTCAAAGGTGTCAATTCTTCTTCAGTCTTCCTTATTCATTGCCCAGCTTTCATATGCATATGACGTGAATGAAAACACCATGGCTTGGGTCAGGAGAACCTTAGTCCTTAAAGTGACATTTTTGCTTTTGAACACTTTAAAGAGGACTTTTATAGCAGATGTGCCCAATGCAAAGCGCTGTTTGATTTCTTGACTGCCGCTTCCACAGGCGTTGATTGTGGATCCAAGTAAAATGAAATCCTTGACAACTTCAATCATCTTTAAAGCATCTTTAGAGCAGCTGTATTCCCTGGTATGTAGCAGATGTTGAATTATTATTTGAATGAATAAATTCTAAGGTTCTAAGCTGTAAAAATGCTAGAAATCTATTGAGAACCCCGAGAAAATGGTAACCTAATGTTTGAGGGTACTATTCTTCTGCACTGAATTTATGTATCTATTGCTTGATCTACTTCTAAAATATAACAGTCTAAAGGTATGAAAAGCAATGAGAAAAACTCAGTAAACTTTTTGTTTTAATCTAAAAAATGGATACAGGAATTCAGCAATGAAGTCACTCCTTAGTGTACACACCTATATGTCTCAGTTCCATTAGCGGTTCTAAAGACTAGTAAATAAGACACATCTTGACAAACTATAAAGAACATAGGATTTTTTAATCAGAGGGACCTGGGTTTATCTCTCAGTTCTTCCACTTACTAGCAATTCTAACGATTTTCTTTATCTGCTGTCATGGATTGAACTGTGTCCCCCAAAAATATCTGTCAACTTGGCTAGGTCCTGATTCCCAGTATTGTACGATTGTCTACCATTCTGTCATCTAATGTGATTTTCCTATTGTTGTAAATCCTATCACTATGATGTAATTAGATGGATGAGTGGCAGTTATATTGATGAGATCTACAAGATTAGATAGTGTCTTAAGTCAACTTCTTTTGAGATATAAAAGAGAGAAGCCAGCAGAGAGATATGGGGACCTCATACTACCAAGAAAGCAGTGCCAGGAGCAGAGTGCATCCTTCGGACCTAAGGTTCCTGCGTGGAGAAGTTCCTAGACCAAGGAAGACTGATGACAAGGATCTTCTTCCAGAGCCGACAAGAAACAAAGTCATCCCCTGGAGCTGGCACCCTCTGGAATTTGGACTTGTATCCTACTAGACTGTGAGAGAATAAATTTCTCTTTGTTAAGGCCATCCACTTGTGGGATTTCTGTTATAGCAGCTCGAGATAATTAAGACACCGTCTCATCTTCGCTTTGAGTAATTTTTGACCATTTCGTCTCCTATAGATGATTTTCCTTAAAGAAGCTCATTACTCATGGGTGACATTCTTTATTTCATGAGCCAATCTGTTATTTAGCTAAAAAATGTCCTCAAGTAATAATTGTAGCTTAAAGCATATCTCAGGGCAGTAAGTCTCAGGGAGTCCTCTAGTCTCAACCAGTCCATTAAGTCTGGACTCTGAATTCTGTTCCACATTTCTCTCCTGTTCTCTAACGATCCATTTATCGTGGCCCTGATCAGAATGTTGGTAGTGGCAGCCAGGCACCATCTAGTTCTTCTGGTGTCAGGGTAGATGAGACCATAGTTCATGTCATCTATTAGTCCTGTAGAGTACTTTCTTCTCTGTCTTTGGGTTCCTTTTTTCTCTTTTATTCCTATCAATTACAGACCAACAGTTGTATCTTAGATGGCCACTTGCAAGCTTTTAAGACCCCAGATACTACTCACCACAATGGGATGTAGAACCTACACTTTATGAACTATATTATGCCAATTACCTGAGTTGTTCCACAAGACTATGCTCCTAAGTCTTCAAGTTCAGGAACCAATCTCACAAGATGTCTGGTTATGTCTTAGAAGTATCCATACTGCGTTCTCTAGGTGGTTTATTATATATATGGATATACACGCGTGCACACACATATTGTATGTATATATGCCTCTGAAGGAGGCCTGGTCGTAGAGTGGTTATGCGCTTGGCTGCCAACCAAAAGGTCAGTGGTTCAAACCCACCAGCTGTTTCATGGAAGAAAGATGTGGCAATCTGCTTCTGTAAAGATTTATGGCCTTGGAAACCCTATGGGGCAGTTCTACTCTTTCCTACATGGTCACTATGAGTTGGAATTGACTTGACGGCAGTGTTTCTTTTAAAATATATGCCTATAGATACTTCTGCCTGTGCACAAACACGTACCCACATATTCATAGTCATATACTTATATGCCTATATACACATTTGTGTAACCATATGCATAGTTTTTGGTTGTTATTGATGTTGCAAAATTATATTTGTCATATCGTTTACCAAAGACATCCTTTTCTCCTGCACCCTTCTCAGTGACATCATTAACCTTGGTCAAGCTGTGTGCACTCCATCCACAATCAATGTTACCTTTCCAATCACCAAAAATAACAAGTGTCTACTATCTCGATAGTGCTCCCCTCTTTCTCCTACCCTCACTCATCCCTGGTAACCACCAATGGGCGTTAGCCTCTGTATATAGGTTTATCCTTGTCTTCTTATAAAAGTGTGATCATACAATATTTCTCCTTTTTGTGATTGACTTATTTCACTCAGCATAAGGTCCTCCAGATTCATTCATGTTATGTTTCAAGGACTCATCATTATTCTTTATGGTTGTATACTATTCCACTGTATGTATGTACCACATTTTGTTTATCCATTCATCTGCTAATAGGCAGGTATTTTCTTTATCATGATGGGTTTTAAGATTTCTTGCAAAAGGATTATTATTACCATTATTTCTGCAACTAATAAAAAACAGTAACAAATGCCCCAATAAATACTATATAGAGCGCTTACTATAGTGCATGAGTTTCACACAACATTGTTCTATAGATGAGGAAACATAGGCTTGAGGAATTAGGTAACCTGTCCAAGGTCAAATAGCAATTACAAGGTAGTAGAGTAGAACAGATTGAGGAGCCCTGGTGATGCAGTGATTAAAGTGCTCGGCTGCTAACTGAAAGGTTGGTGGTTCAAACCCACCAGCTGCTCCGCAGGACAAAGATGTGGCAGTCTGCTTCCCTGAAGATTACAACCTTGAAAATCCTCTGGGCCAATGTGTACTGTTTAATGAGAAACTATTTGTTCTGTAAATCTTCATCTAAAGTACAATTAAAAAATAAAAATAATAAAAAAAAGACAATCCTATGGGCCAGTTGTACCCCATCCCATAGGGGAGCTATGAGTCAGAACTGACTCCACGGCAACGAGTTGTAAAGTAGACTGATCAAGGGCATGAACTATGGAGCCAGACTATGAGGGTTCAAATTTTGGCTTTATGTTGAATGTTTTATGAACTTAGTAAAGTTATTTAATTAATGTCTCTGGGTCACTTTAGATTACTCATGTATAAATAAGGATAATAACACTATTTACCATAGAGGTTGTCCTGAGATTTAAATGAGACAATGTGAAATACAGAACAATGCTATAAAGGGTTAGGTATGATTATTTTTATTTCCTACTAGAATGTAAAGTCTGTAAGGGCAAGGATTTTTTTTCTAGTCTCTTGTATTCAGAGCAATGCCGGCCACAAAGTAGATATCCAATAAATATTTGTTGGATGAATGTGTCAAATGGGACCAGGATTTGTACACAGATAATTTGACTCCAGTGCCTACACACTCTCTTAAGATACAAAGGTTGAAAACCATGGTTCCAGAGAGTGAAGTCAGGAATGTAGACTGGAAGGGAAAAAAAAAAAGCCCTGAGATAATCTTTAAACCTTAAACCAGAATATCCCCTAAAGTCTTATCACCAAATAATAGTTTTGCTTAACTAGTAAAGAATATCTGCCGCAAGCATTGTGTTCTTTTAATCTATCTACATGGGCTCACACTGACAACAGCAACTCAAAAGATTAGACAGGAAACTTAAGGGGCTGTGAGTTTATATTAACGGGAGATGAACAACTTGGAAAAGGAGGGTAAGAATGGTTATACAACTCGAAGAATGTAATCAATGTCACTGAATTATACATGCAGCAATTGTTGAACTGGTGTATGTTATGCTGTGTATATTCTCAACAACAACAAAAATAAATTACTTAAAAAAAAAGCCAAATCACAATCTTAAGACCCACATTTTTAAGAACTAAGAAGAGACAGTAGAGCCAATCAACAAGACTGCGAAATAAAGGTACAGAGGATAAAAGGTTATGACAAGCTGGCCAAGCATTCTTTTCTATTTTTTAACTTTATAGTTTTTTTCAAATAGAAAGTAAAAAAAAAAAAAAAAAAAAATTTAACTTAAAAAAACTAATAAAAACACTGTGAATGCTCATAAGAAAAACTCCAATTACAGAAAGGTAGAAAACGGCAAATAAAAGTCTCTACTCCTAATCCCTAGAAATAATCACAATTGATACATATGATAATTCATTTAGCTAGTACCTTACAGATTGTTTCAGTCCTATGTTATAAAAACAAGGTTGCAATAAACACCCTCTTACATCTATCTTTGTGGATGCATGTATTTCTCTAGGATTAATTATTGGACATAGACCTTCTAAGAGTATTTGAACACAAAGTATTATCAAACTCTTAAATCTGCTAGTTCAATATTGTTAACATATATACTGTCTACCTTTATCTGTCTACCTTTATTTTTTTCTTTGAACTATGAATTATGTTCTTTGCCAGTTTTTTCCACAGACTGTTCCTCTTTTTCTTTTTGATTTACAGGAGCTGTTTTAACTCAGCTAAAAAAGTAATTAATTTCAGTTTCCTATGAATTAGAAATAGTCTAATAAATATCAAACTTTTTTCCCTTTACAATAACAGGTCAGTCTAATCCAAGTTAAGGTTTTTAAAAATTCAAATATTAAGGCTATACAATTTACCCTTTGAATATTTAAAAATCTTTAATGGGGAAATGACAGCACTATTAATTAAGTCTCCCTTATTTGATTAAAAAAAGAGTAGCTGGTGTGCATAAGCCAAAATCATTTCTATTTTATCTCAGAATATAAGAAAAGCAGTACTTAAATATGGGTGTGCCACCGTACTAAGAAGCAATGAGGCAGAATTACCAACGGGAAACTGCAAGGCTATCTAGTTTCCTAATCCAGTCCTCTGGTGCAACTTTCCTCTGCACTCTCGTCCTATCCCGAAGATAAACCACCCATCCTAGGGGTTTCTGCATTGTCTGAAAATATACGCTAGAGTGGGTGGGAGCGAAGAGCTTTCAAAGTTCCTCCGGTTATGATACAGGTTGTGTGAAGAGAAATGGAAGAAGTTAACAAAGCAAGTAATTAAAGAGAAGGCTTTGTATCAAAGATAAAGCAAGAAAGAGAATTTCTCTGAAAAGAACTGGCCTAAGCCATTTCATAAAACTTTTCCTTCTAGATTATATAACATTAAAAATAACTTTATTTTTATCTTAAATATACCAAGTTTCAAAACATTGTCTTTAATTCATTACATAACGAGAAAAAAATGAAATAGCATTTCATTTCCAAAAGAAATTAAGATATACTCTTAGCTCTGTTTTAAAACAGAACCACCACAAACATTTCATTTTCAAGCATCTGCTCAATCGTATCACTTGCCTGTGTTAAGATGTAACTCCTTTGTGCCTCTTCTATGTCAACTAAACTGGCATTAATATAATCATTTTCAGTATTTTGCAGTTTAACACGACTGTGATCATCTGAAAAAAGAAAATGAGAAACCATAACTGTAATTTCAAATCTGTCATTTCCTTTGAATTTTAGTATTAGTGTTCTAGATATTTATAAAATGATAGAAGGAACAAAACAAAGAAAAAACAAGTTAGCACTATAGGAAATTTGAGCCAAATCCTAAATTATTTCCCATGTTTTAAAAGTAAGTATAAAAATTGAATCTTCTTGTTTGTTACTCTGATGTTGGAAGGGAAGTACTTCTATTTGTAGCACATTAGCTACTGTAACTTGAAAAATTGAGCAAACAGTAAAACACAGTAAACTGAATAAAGCACATATCTCCCTAGAAGTAAAAGGATCATTTAGATTCTTGGTGCCTAAGAAGGGACTGGTCTACCTACAATAAAAGAATCGGGCTCAAGTATGAGACTAGATTTCCAGGGCAACTATATTTCATTTTCTTCATTCCTCAAGAAACTTGCATTGAACTATATTTAAATAATTTTTAACATTTAACTATGTTTAGATTAAGTGCTAAAAATATTTAAATACAGTTGGAATATCTCAACTCTTTATTTAACGGACAACAATAAAGATACTTCATTACTTACAGTATAACAGTTTAGATATAATTCCAGCTTTTAAAAAAGGAAAAATCTATAGATTTAGAATGTATGCTAATTTAAATATGTGGCACACAAAATTCAACCTTCTAGCATTTAGGCGGGAAAGGAAGACCCAGAGGACAAAGGAGCGAAAGTGCATGCAGAACCCCAGACAGCTCTCAGAGCAGGAACCAAACAAAACCTGCAAACACCCTGTGTGATGTTCAAGGCTGGAGAACACATCCTACTACAAGCTGCCACCCCGAAAGAAATATGTACTAAATATACACTCTCTTGCCATTTTTAAATGGAAAAACTGTTTCCATTATCTCCATATGAAAGAAAATGTTAAATGGCTTTAGTTCACACATAATGTATCAGAGATGTTTCTGCTGGAATGAACCCAACACCTCTGTAAATACTACATGTGATCTGCCAACAGGAAAAACTAAGACCTCGTTATAGTAAATCACATATACTAGTGTTCTCGGAAAGATGATGTCAGCAAGCACTTTTTTTTTTTTAGCAGTCACTTTTTTTTTAACAGTTTAATCACCCTTTAACTATTATCTGAGATAGTAAATAAGTCAGCTACCATAGATAGATAGACTATCTATCAGATGATACATACTAAGAAAATAATGCACGTCTCTGCAAGGCTAAACAATCTCTAAAATTCAAGTTGCACTAAAATATAATACCAAAGGAATGTATTTCCTCATGTTGTAATCACAGACAGAACACAAACTCCAAATGCTAATCATATTCCTTGCGTAAATGAAAACAGCAAGTGAGCCAACACAAAGAAAGAATCCATAAAAACGGGAAAGTTCCTCCCAGTGTGCTAGGAATTTGGCCATCATGCATACTGCCATCATAGAGGTCCACAGCTGTAGATGAAATAAGACTTCAGCAGTTTGGTTTTAAGGATATTTGATACCCTGCCCTCACAATAATTCTCTTCCGCCTCTCACATAAAAGCACACCCCAGTCCCTGGAGCTGCTGTACCTCACCAGCTTGGGAGTGTCCTACACAGCCTGGCCCCACACAGGGACCCTGCTTTCCATCTAACAGTCATTTATACAGAGTCACAACAAAAGCAGAGAGACACTGAAATTGTTTAGAATGAAAAATAGATTTTTTTTAAAACTGTGCTTTAAATGCAAGTTTACAGTGCAAGTTAGTTTCTCATATAAAAATGTATACACACATTGTTATGTGACTGTAATTGCTCTCCCTATACTGTGACAGCACACTCCTCCTTTCCACCCTGGATTTCCTGCGTCTACTCAACCAGCTCCTGACCCTCTGCCTTCTTATCTCACCTCCGGACAAGAGTTGCCCATTTAGTCTCATGTATCTACTTGAGTTAAGAAGCACATTCTTCACGAGTATCATTTTACGTCTTACAGTCCAGTCTAATCTGTGTCTGAAGAGTTGGCTTTGGGAATGTTTTCAGTTCTGGGCTAACAGAGAGTCCGGGGGCCATGTCTTCCAGGGTCCCTCCAGTCTCAGTCAAACCATTATTCTGGTCTTTTCACTAAAATTTGAGTTCTGCACCCCACTTTTCTCCTGCTCCGTCAGGGACTCTGTTGTGTTCCCTGTCAGGGCGGTCATTGGTGGTAGCCAGGCACCATCTAGTTCTTCTGGTCTCAGGCTGATGCAGTCTCTGGTTTATGTGGCTCTTTCTGTCTCTTGGGCTAATACTTTCCTTGTGTCTTTGGTGTTCTTCATTCTCCTTTACTCCAGGTGGGTTGGGAACAATTGATGCATCTTAGATGGCCACTCGCTAGCTTTTAAGACCTCAGATGCCACTCACCAAAATGGGATGCAGAACATTTTCTTAATAAACTTTGTTATGTCAATTGACCTAGATGTCCCCTGAAACCATGGTAGGACAAAAATTTTAAAAACACTCAATCATTAGATATTTATTTTAATTCATCAGTTCTATTAAGAAGATGAATACATAGATAAGTACACACCTTTTTGATTTAGAAGAAAATCTGTGCAGTGAAAAAACTTAAGAGATTTCTGATGTTAACTAAAACACACCACCTTAACATGACTGTAGTTATATTTGGCCTTTCTGGCCCTGGATTTATAGTTCTGCCAAGATGATCTGCTAGGCCACAGACTTGCAAAGGGACTGGTTAGTCTACTATGCAAATAAGGTACAGAAAACCTTTGCAGGGATTAGACAGTTTACTATGCAAATAAGGTGTGGGGACTGGACAGTTTACTATGCAAACTAGGTACCTGTGGCCTATTGAGGGGATTGGTCAGTTCATGGTCTTGGTGGGACGAGTAGGCTCATAAAACTGCTAATCCCACTGAGGTTGAGGGGGACCTCACTACCATCAAGAAGGTGAACGTGGAGTGGAGCACGTCCTTTGGACCCAGGGTCCCTTTGCTGAGAACCTCCGAGACCCAGGAGACAGAGAGTTGAAACACTGGAGAAGGTGCAAGATGGCATGAACAGCAGGAAACCAGCACAAGACAGCTGCAGTGGGCTTCCCGACTCATGGAGTGACAGAGCAGAGCACCTTCAGGCAGGAGTCTTGCTGGTGGAGTAGGGTGCCTCCAGGCACTTGACAGTGGAATCAAAAGATCTGTAACACTGGCTGAGCGTGGACCGGCCCAAGCGTGGACCAGCATGCGGGCACAGCCAAGAAGGAGCTGAAGGCTGTCTTTGTTGGAAGCTGTCCTGATTGATGAAGTGTATCCTGTCTCCTAAGTGTTCCTGTTACTTCCAAGATGATCCTGGTCCCAAGTTATAGCCTGTTACTTCCCTAATAAACCACAAAACTGTGAGTTCTATGTGGCCATTGCAATGAATTATCAAACCCAACAGAGAAGTAGAGTGTCATGGGGAGGACGGCTAGTGTCAGATATGGTGAGGGGGTTGGAGAGTGGAAGAATTTCCGACCTCCACCTCATAGGGATCATTTTTGGGTTGCAGTTGATCTTGATTCTTATCTCTCTCCATGAAGTTAGATGGATTCTGACATCCTAGAACTATCTAGAAAGATAGTAAATATATACATTTCAGGAAGTGAAACTATTCAAGTCTTTTTATTAAAAACTGTGACTTTATGATTTATATTTTCCAGCAAAGATAACAAAGAGGACATTGCCTCTTCTCCAATCAAGAATTGCCTGACGTACAGTTTAAAATGTCCATAAACCAAACACGAGAGCTGATGCCTGGCAAGGAACATGCTCCCTTTCAACCTGGGAGCCAACTGTTTCCCTCCCCTGCCCCATTACTATCAGTTGGCCCCAAATCTGTGAACTGATCCATCAGTATATTTCAAACCAAACTTTTGATTTCTGAATTAGAAAAAATACAAAGTTACATGCTTTCCCTTCTTCTACGGTTTACTCTTCCCAGGACCCTCTGAAATAAAATTGTACAAGTGACAGATTCCCATAACCTCTGGGCTTTAAGTAAGCCCCACAGTCCACAGTACTTTATCATCATTCTAGGTATATGGTTATTTCCCTCTTTCCTAACTTTTAAAGCATCCAGCAGAAGAAGAAAAAATGAAGACAGTTCGAACTATATTGCATGACACACCACAAAAGCAACAAAACCACATTTCCAAAGAAAATCTTATTTCTCAGCATCTATTAACACCAGCCAACTACCTGTCAGTTTGTCATAATGTGGTGGTTTGTGTATTTCAAATACTAGCAGGGTCACTTGTGGTGAACAGGTTTCAGCAGAGCACTTAGACTCTGATGAGGAAGAAAGGCCTGGTGAGCTACCTACAAAAATTAGTAATGAAAACCCTCTGGATCCCAACAGAATATTGTCTGCTATAGTGCTGGAAGATAAGCAAACATACCAACGACCACGAGGATGATGCAGGATCAGGGGATGTTTTGTTCTGTTGTACATGGGATCACTATGAGTTGGGGTCAACCAGATGGCAACTAATAATAACAATATTTAACACCAGTAGCAAAACTATCAAGGACATAAAATTTTTTTCTATAGGTCATCATCTGCTCTTAATTCTTGTCACTGAGTGAATGAAGAAATGCAATACCAACTATACTTCCAATAGAACTGTGGTTTACAAGTGGAATAAAAATTAAGCAAACTGGCGCAGGCTCCCTCCACCTCCCACCCGCAAACAGTGTTTTCTAAGAAATGGTTCCATGTGCTAAGAAATGACTCACCCTAGGCCTCGCCTGGGCTGACAATACAGATTAACTTCCTCTTTTGATACTGTCAAGGGGCCCTGGTGGTGCAGTGGTTAAAGCACTTGGCTGCTAACTGAAAGGTCGGCGGTTCTAACCCACCATCTGCTCAGTGGGAGAAAGATGTGGCAGTCTGCTCCCATAAAGATTAGTCAACGATTAGTCGATTTTCAGTCAATGAGCATTTTTAAACGTTTTCAGGGCCAGGCAA